GAAGCAAGAAACTGAAAGGAGGACAGAAAACACAAACATGTACTCACAAAGGAGTAGTTGAAAAAAGAAAAGCCGAGGAGAGACAGAAAGGCAAACATGAGGAAAGAGGTAAAGGAAAGGCAAAATGAGAGAAAGTAAGAGAAAAGGTGAAGGAAAGCCAAAAATAAACAGGAGTGAGTTCCTAGATGTTGATAGAGCAGGCCCTGGGTAAAATTCCTTAGGGCCCTGTCGTCTCCTACCACCTTTTGAAAGGCCCTTTGGCGAATCAGTTTACAAAGAAGACTCTCCAACCATGGCACACGGAGATCAAGAGCTCTGGGCTTTGGAATCATTCCTAAGCCATACACTCTCTTCCTAGCTAAGCACCAGGCTCCAAGTGACTGGGTTTATTATAAAAATGATTTAGTAGGACAGTATCTCCAAGCAGACGATTCAGTATGTCAGTGTCACCACTTTAATTATGAAAAGAAAGCAAATTCATTTTAAAAAGCAACAATCACAAGGTTAGTGTGGTTTCTCGGATATACTCCTTTCAAGTCCCTCCTTGTTTAATCACTAAAATACTTCCCAGAGTACCAAATTAGTGCCAAAGAAAGAATAAAAATGGTGGTACTACAGAGTAGTATGTCCTTGTGTGCTCTTGAAATAAGTATTTTTAGGCCTCATTTTCCTCATTTGATAACGAGGATGCAGTGGTAAACATAGCATAATGTATAAACTTGTTGAATCACTATGTCGTACATCTGAATCTAATGTACCATTATGTATCACCATATTCAAATAAAAACAATAATAAAAAAATAAAATGAGGATGCTGGATGAGATCAATGGCTTCCAAAATGTCAGACCTGCTACATCAAGTCATGTTGAGGAACATGTTTAATAATCCTGGTTCGTGGGGCACCTGGGTGGATCAGTCAGTTAAGCATCCGACTTTGGCCTAGGTCATGGTCTCCGATTTGTGAGTTAAGTCCCACACTGGGCTTTCTGCTGTCAGCACAGAGCCCACTTCAGATCTTCTGTCCCCACCCCCATGCTTTCTCTTTCAAAAATAAACATTTTACTTAAAAAAACATTTTTTTAAACATTTATTCATTTTTGAGAGACAAAAAGGGATACAGCGTGAGCAGGGGAGGGGCAGAGAGAGAGGCAGACACAGAATCTGAGGCAAGCTCCAGGCTCTGAGCTATCAGCACAGAGTCCAACATGGGGCTCAAACCCACAAACCATAAGATCATGACCTGGGCCAAAGTCAGACACTCAATTGACTGAGTAATCCAGTGCCCCAATAAACATTAAAAAAAAAAAAAAAAAAAAAAAAAAAAAAATCCTGGTTCTTAAAAAACACGATGTCATTTACATTAGCACCCAAAACAAAAGAGAAATATTTAGGTATAGATTTAACAAAATATGTACAATCCAAATGAAGGAAACTTCAAAACTCTGATGAATGGCGGCACCTGGGTGGCTCAGTCAGTTAAGTGTTCAACTTTTGGTTCGGGTCATGATCCCACAGTTGGTGGGTTTCAGTCCCATATAGGGCTCTGTGCTGGCAGTACAGAGCCTGCTTGGGATTCACTCTCTCCGTCTCTCTCTCTCTGCCTCTCCCCTGCTCACACTGTCTCTCTCAAAATAAATAAGTAAACTTTAAAAAAAATAGTTTAAAAAAACAAAACAAAAAACCCCCAAAAAACAAAACTCTGATGAACAAAATCAAAGAACTAAATAAATGGTTTTTCCATGTTCATGGATAGGAAAACTCAGTTTTGTCATTCTCAACTTTATAAATTCAATGCAATCCCAACCAAAATGTGTTGTGGAAATCAACAAATTCATTCTAATGTTTATGTGGAGAGACAAAGACCCAAGATTTCCAACACGATAGGAAAAGATTGGAGGAGGAGGACTGATACTACCTGACTTCAAGACTTACTATAAGGCTACGGTAATCAAGACAGCGTGGTACTGGGGAAAGAATACATCAGTGGAAGAGAATAGAGAGCCCAGAAGTGGAACCCCATAAATATAGTCAACTGATCTTTGACAAAAGAGCAAAGGCAACACAATGGAGCAAACAGAGTTTCTTCAACAAATGGTACTAGAACAACTGCACATTCACATGAAAAAACATGCGTCTAGACACAGACCTTGCACCTTTTACAGAAACCAACTCAAAATGGATCACAGACCTAATATAAAATGTAAAATATAACTCCGAGAAGGTAACAGAAGAAAACATAGATGACCTTGGGTTTAGCAAAGACTTTCAGACACAACACCAAAGCACAACCCATAAAACACTGATGAGCTGAGCTCCATTAAAATTAAAAACTTCTGGGGGCGCCTGGGTGGCTCAGTCGGTTAAGCATCCCAACTTTAGCTCAGGTCATGATCTCCTGGTTCATGAGATCGAGCCCTGCATTAGGCTCTCTGCTGTCAGCACGCAGCCTGCTTTGAATCCTCTGTCCCCGCCTCTCTCTGCCCCTTCCCTGCTGGTGTGCTCTCATGCTCTCAAAAATAATCAAACATTTTTTAAAAATTTAAAAAAATTAAAAACTTCTGCCTGCTAAAGACAATGTCAAGACAATGAGAAGACAGGCCACAAGACAGGGAGAAAATATTTGTACATCTGATAAGGGACTATTATCCAAAATGTACAAAGAACGCTTAAAACTCAACAATAAGAAAACAACATGATTAAAAAAAATGAGTTAAAGATAGCAGACATCTCACCAAAGAAGATACACTGATAACAAAACGCATATAAAAAGATGCTCCGTATCAAATGTCATCCCGAAAATGCAAATTAAATCAACAATGAGGTACCACTACACACTTATTGGAAGAGCAAAAATCTGAAGCAATGACACCACCAAATGATGATGTGGCACAATGGAGACTCACGTTCATTGCTGGTGGGAATGTAAAATGGTATAGACACTTGGGAAGAGAGATTGGTGGTTTCTTTCTTTCTTTCCTTCTTTTTTAAGATTTTATTTTTAAGTAATCTCTACACCCAATGTGGGGCTCAAACTTACAACCCTGAGATCAAGAGTTGCACGCTCTACTGACTAAGCCAGCTAGGTGCCCCAGATTGGTGGTTTCTCAAACACATTCAGGGGTGCCTGGGTGGCTCAGTCAGTTAAGTGTCTGACTTCGGCTCAGGTCAATATCTCACGGCTTGGGAGTTCGAGCCCTGCGTTGGGCTCTGTGTTGACAGCTCAGGGCCTGGAGCCCGCTTCGTAGTCTGGGTCTCGGTCTCTCTCTGCCCTTCCCCCGCTTGAACACACATGTGCTCTCTCTCAAAAATAAAAAACATTAAAAAAAAACAAACCTAAACATACTCTTACCATATGATCTAGTAATCACGGCCCTTAGCATTTACCTAAGAGAGTTGAGAAACTTAGGTCCACACAAAAACTTGCACGTAGATGTTTCCAGCAGCTTTATTCATCATTACCAACTCTTGGAAGCAACCAAGATATCCTTTAGTAGGTGAATGGATAAACTGTTACATCCCGATGATGGAATATTATTTGGCACTAAAAACAAATGAGCTATCAAGCCATGAAAAGACATGAAAGAATCTTAAATGCGTATTACTAAGTAAAAGAAGCCAATTTCAAAAAGGCAAAACGCTGAAGACAGTAAAAAGATCAGTGGTTGCCAGGGGTGGGAGGGATGAATAGAAGGAGCACAATTTTCCAGGCAGGAAAAATACTCTGAAATGTACCACAGTGATGGATACATGTCATTATATGCTGGTCCCAAACCACAAAATGTATAACACTAAACGTGAACCCCAACAAAAACTATGGACTTTGAGTGATTATCATGTGTCACTGTAGGTTTATCAATTGTAAAAAATGTACCACTCTGGTGGGGAAAATGGGGGAGGCTGTGCATGTGGGGGCAGTGGGTATATGGGAAATCTTTGTATCTTCCCCTCAATTTTGCTGCCAACCTGAAGCTCTTCTAAAAAAAATGTCTTAATTTAAAAACAAAAATTCCCTTGGGGCGCCTGGGTGTCTCAGTTGGTTGGGCGTCCGACTTCAGCTCAGGTCATGATCTCACGGTTTGTGAGTTCGAGCCCCGCGTTGGGCTTTGTGCTGACAGCTTGGAGCCTGGAGCCTGGAGCCTGGAGCCTGCTTTGGATTCTGTGTCTCCCTCTCTCTCTGTTCCTCCCCCACTTGCACTCTCTCTCTCTCAAAAATAAATAAAGATTAAAAAAAAAATTTAAGAAAACAGAAACAAAAGCTCCCAAAATTCTCACTCCAGACCTACTGAACTAGAATCTGGGTATTTTTAACAGGTTCTTCAGGTGAGTCTGATATGAAGACAGGTTGGAAATCACTGGACTAAATAAATGACCCTGTTACTAAACCACATATTGACCTTTTCATATAGTGACTATACTTTTACAACAGCTTTGGAAGACATGTATATTACGGTCACTGTTCTAAAGATTGAGAAACAGGATCAGGAAAGTGAACTACCTGAGATCACATAATTAAGTAAATAGCTGAGTCAAAACTTCAATTTGGGTGATTCATGTCGTTTCACGTCACAATGGTTCCACATGGTTCTAATATTTATTATTCTAGAGGATACTTAAAACGTATTATTTTAGGGGTGCCTCAGTCGGTTAAGCGTCCAACTTTGGCTCAGGTCATGACCTCGCAGTCATGTGAGTTCGAGCCCCGCGTCGGGCTCTGTGCTGACAGCTCAGAGCCTGGAGCCTGCTTCAGATTCTGTGTCTCCCTCTCTCTCTCTGCCCCTCTCCCCTGTTCATGCTCTGTCTCTCTCTGTCTCAAAAATAAATAAATGTTAAAAAAAAAAAAATTAAAACAAAAAAAACGTATTATTTTAAAAGGCCTCTGTTTTGAGAAATGACCGCTAAAGCAAAGTTGTGGAGAGGAGTGTATGGCACAGGTGGAAAGCAAGATAGGCTCCCATTATGTAACCTCAGAAACTGCAACAGACAGACAGACAACACCCACCTTAACTGTACCATCATCACTGCCAGTGCAGACAAGCTGGGGGCCCCTCCTGGCTGGGTAACAGGAATTCACAAAGGAAGTATGTCCTTTCAGCCTTTTAACCCTCTCGCCTGTCTCACTGTCCCATACTGCCACAGTTTTATCTGTGGATGCGGAGAAGAGCATACTACAAGAAGAACAAAAAAGAAATAAGTGAAGAAAAGCAACGGCAACCCACCCCCTCCCCGCCCACACACAACACTTGCCAAAACGTGCTACTCTTTAAGGCCACTGACAGGTTGTGCTCTGACAGTTTGACACATGATGCAGGAATGCTTCACCCTCCCGAACAAAATCCTGCTGGTTTTCTAGACCCAGTTACAAGGTCTACTCTATGCAATGTCAAAAAAATTTCCTTCTGTCAGTCCCCATGATGTATTACAACCTAATACCGGTAGGTTTCTCAATCTTTTTCTCCTTTGAGATAGACAACACTTTAGACATTTTCCCATCTGGAAATGTTTAATCACTCCCTGCTGCAGAGTGAAGACACACCGTAGCCAGTTCCTGACCTGGTGGCTCGGTAAAGTTTTTACTTTGTTTCCAAAAATGATTTCTAAGTTATAATTGATTTCATAAGGCATTCTTTACTCAAATACTAACAGGGAAAATGTATACAAGGTTATGTACCAGTTGATTCCGGGACCCTAAGATTTTAGAGGCCAGAGGTATAAAACAATGAATGTTCACTAAAATACCTCATAGGATTAAATGACTTTGTATGATCACATTTTTATATTACCTAGGTTATTGTAAAATTATGCGGTCATTAAAATGTTTATGATAAAATGTATACTATGATACAGATACAACAGGTGAGTAACAGTAAGGAAAAAAGCAGCAGAAAAGATCACACATGAAGCTCTAACGTATACGAAAAACCAAATGGCTTTGAGTAGGAAAAAAACTTGAGAAAAACATATCATAAGATTAACAGTGATAAACTTTGGAGTGGTAGGAATATGGGCTATTTTTTCATTTATGTTTTTGAGTTTCTCAAAAGAAACGTTATTGTTTTTATTAAAAAAAAATAACTGATATCTGCATATGCAAATTACATTTTGTTTTGTTTTAAAAAGAAACAAATTTGCCTGAGCTGTCGATGTTAGGTGATAGAGATGTATTCACGTATGCGTACATGGAGCAAGAAACACCAAACTTGGCTTAACAGTGATAGGATAATAAAGTAGCTGCTCAAAATGCAGTAGTTTTTGATGGCATAGTCTCCTGAAAGAGAAAACTCAAGGATGCAACGTGAAAGGATGCCGAGACAAGTTCGTAGGAGAAGCAGCTGTCATTCCACTGTGCGAACTACTCACCTGCCATCGGTATTATAATGCAGCTCCATCACCGCCCCACTGTGTCCCTTCAATGTGGCATAGTTATCACAGTCACCATAGACATTCCACAGCACTGTCAGGGAGACAGGGGTTCTGTGATCATTACTACGCAAAAGAAAAGTCACCATTGGCCACAGAAAAGGTACTTCTAAATTTATCACAACAGTTTTGAAATTATACTCCCTGGGAGTATTCTCCCTATTGGTTCTCCCAGCTGGACCGATTTTCCTGACACTAAAACAAAAGTAATGCCGTATTTTCATATTTCATAAGGTTGAAAAAATTAATTTTTTAAATCTGAAAGTTTTCTGCTGTAATGTTAAAAAAGCTGGTACTCACTCCTACATGTCTGCTATGAGTATAAGAGAACTGCAAAATGATGGCACTTACAGAAAACCCAAGAAGCTGCAAACTGACTTGAAGGGCACATGGCAATGACTTTATATTACATTTACTCATTCCACATGTACCATGTACCCGTAACAAGCCAGATGCTGGGGTAAAATTAGATAAGTGAATAGACACGGTTCCTGTCCTCAGGCAGCTTGGTTTAGCAAGGAATGAGGCTTGAGTATTATTAAGGAGCACCTCTATATGCAATAAGGCATGTACATATGGTATTCTTCTGTTGATAAACCATTTTTTTGTTTGATGAAATTAAGCACATCAATTTAAGGGATTGATCTTAATTAATCTTCTGCAAAGATTCCCAACTCTTCCAGATGCTTGGTCACTGTTAAGTTGAAGGATCACAGAACTAGAATACCTACATCAAGACAGCAAAGACAGCTATCATCTACCTTGAGGTACAATCTTATAAGCAAAGAGCTAAAGGACTCACTTAATCTCACAATACAACAAACGATGCCAGGATAAAAGAGTCAGATATTTCTGGTATCTTCTCTCTTGTTTTTTCTCATGACTCTTCTGAAGTGATTTTTTCTACTTATTTCTGAAAAATGGGTATTCCCAACTAGCAGCTGAGAATCTAAATGCCGTATGATCCTGATGACGTACAGGTAGATTATCCAAGTGAGTTGCCACTTTAGGATCCCCATGTCCCCTCCTTCTTTTCATATGCTAGGATTCTATGAGTGGATCAAGAGGAAGGCCTCACACCTTTGGGAAAAGGAAAAGCTATCTCTCCATTACTTCCATTAACCTGGTATGCCTAGATCTCTTGTCTGGCTAAATCAGCTCAAGATTTGCCTCCATGAGGAAGATACCCTCAAACTAGGACAACTCACTTTCCAAGGAGTAACATGATTCCTCCTGTACTACATGGACCTTGAGTTCTATACCCAAGATCACTCAACATTTTCATGACACTCTTTCAGCATGTTAGCCAGGCAGTTTGTGATGTGACCAGCTCAGACTGATACCTTCTGTGGCACTGAAGGTTTTAAAAGAAGAATCACTATTTGGCAAAGAACAATTACTCCAGCTTCAAAAACTCTCTTACATATCAGTCGATCGAATCCTGCAGATGCTAAGGTGGATCCGTTGGGATGAAACTTGCAGCAGTACACTTCCCCTTCATGTCCTGAGAGAAGCATGATTGGAGCTTGAAGGGAGGAACACCTGGGAGGTCCCTAAACAAGACAGAAGTATAGGGTAGTCACTGCATACAGGCAAAGGAGGCTGCAAAAGACACGGGGAACAATAATCGAGTGGATTTCTTCTGATTTAGAGAACAGCAACTTTTCTCACGTGAACTTCTGCCTCCAATGCGACGCGGTCCTGCTGAAGTGTCCAGTGTCTATCTGTTATTCTAACTACTCCCTCATTCTGCTCCCGTCCCATAGCCAACTTGTAATTGCTCAAACATGTGAAACTCATTTCTGCCTCAGGATCTCTATCCTTGTTGTTGTCCCTGACTGGGATCTTCTTCCCTTAGATCTTCCTGTGTTTAGCTCCTTTCAAATGTTTCCACTTCAGAAAGTGTTTCTTTGACACTCAAACTCAAGCAGCACCACACCTTCCCTCTGCATTCGGTTAGTCCTACTGTATTTCCCCATAGCACTTATCACTACCTGCAATTACCTTCCTTAGTTTACCTTATTTTTAACGTATCTCGTCCTTTTTCCCCACTACAAAAGGTTTGTGAGTGCAGGGACCCTGCTTGCGTCATTCAACACTGTCTTCCCAGTCTCTAGCTCATTTAATGAATGAATGAGTGAACTGACCTTCCCAACAACTCCGCAGGGTACAGATTACTGGGGAAAGTAGTTTTGATTATGGTCTCGACACTAAGCCTAGGCTTGGACAAGTCACTAAAACCGCATACTCTTGTCAGAGAGAAAAACTAGTACACTATCAGTAATCCCCAAACCTCTTCAGTCATTTCCAGTTTATGCATTTATTAAAAAAAAATATATTATGTGCCAGACACTCTCTAGGCACTGGGAAAACGGTACTGAACAAAATAAAAACAAACAATGGAGTTTGTGTTCTAGAGAGAAGGAGGAAGAGGAGGGAGGAAGAGAGAAAACAAATAAAACAGATGGCAGGTGGTAGGTACTATGGAGGAAAAAAAGCAATGTGGGTTAATGCATATGGTGAATTGCAACTTAGAACAGGGTCGTCAGGAAAGCCCTCACTGATAAAGTGGTATCTGAACAAAGATTTGGAGGAGCTGAGTGTGTAAACCATGCGGGTATTTTGAAGAAGAGCACTTCAGTAGAGTGTAGCATATGAAAAGGCTTCGGGGCAAGAACATGGAAGCCAGTGTGACTGGAGCAGGGTGAGCAATGGAAAATTGGCACATCTGAGCGGTAAAGGGAAAGAGGGCAAAAGGCTGTAAGGGTTTGGGTTTAACTTTGGGGGAAGTGGAAAGCCACCGAAAGTCTGCAGCAGAGGGTAACGTGATCTAACGTTTAGCAGGATTCCTCTGGCTGCTGGACTGAGAACAGATTGACCAGACAAGAGCAGAAAACAAGAATACCAGTTAGAACCTCACTGCAATTGTCAGATGAGACGATCATGGCTTAGACCAGGAGCTAGTGATGGAGTTGGTAGAAGTGGTCGCAATTTGGGATATATTTTGAGGAGGGTGCCAGCACGATTTGTTCATGGACTGGCAGAGAGGTTGAGACAGGAGACCCATGTATTTCTTGATCTGAGCCTAACAGTCCAGGAGGAGAGGTGTGATCATTACCTCTATCTCACAAGAAACGCAGTTAGGAGCATGGATTCTGGGCTTAAAATCTGTTTCTATCATTTACCAGATAAGAGTTTACAAAACAGGATACTAACAGTTCCTACCTCTTTAGCTATTAACCAAGATTAACAGAGTTTTCATGTACAAAGTACTTAACACAAGGACTCGATGAATGTTAGCTATTGTTCGGTTGTTGTTAGTAACAGTACTAGCGCTGAGAGGTAAAGAGGAAAGCAACTTGCCCGAAGTCCCAAAGCGAGTCGCTGTCACTCATTTCCTTTCTCCCCTCATTCACTCATTCATTCATCCGTCCATTCTACAAACTTTTCTGAATGTTGACTCTATGTCGGATCCCTGGGAGATTAAGTATGAGAAAGCCCTGGTACTGGTTTTGAGTTCAAGGTCCTTAAACTCTAATTCTAACGCCACGCCACAGGGTGGTCGAGACGCTGAAAACAGGAGTCCGACGGGCTAACGAACGCAGCATCCGCGGGGGGAGGGGGGGGGTGGGGGGCGGGGGGGTGTCGACGGCTTTTACAGAGTTTTCTGCTTTAACTGCAGGTAGCGATTCTCGTTCCGCCCCCGCAGTGCGGGATCTCCCGGTGCAGGGCTCTCGGAGATGAAGAATGAGCTGAGGGCCGAAGGCCGCCTCCTACTTCACTTACCGCTTGCAGCAAAGCTCCCGGCGCCGTCTGCTGCTGCCCGGCTCCGGGGCCCGACCCCGCCGCTCCCAACAGCAACTCATGCCGCTGCCGTTTGACTGGTACCAGCGGCAACTCTGGGCCCTTGCGCTTCTGCTGTTCTATCATGGCGGCAACCGCTCTTCTCAGCGCCGCCGCTGACCGCGCCGACAGGCTCAGGCACCGCGCGATTGGTTCCGACTTAGTTCTTCCCCCAGAACTTCCGGCTTGGAGAAACCAATCGGCTTCCAGTAATCTCCTCTGCACCGCCCCCTGAACGCTCTTCTTTTATTGGTCAGCTCTTCCTGGCGTCACGAGAGTACGATGCCAGGATTGGTGGGTAGAGCTGGAGTCCCACCTAGGCGCGCTGTGTCTTGTGGGTGGAAGCGCTGTCTGGGTTTTGGCGTTTCGCGCAATGCTGCGGTGGGGAGACCCGGAGCTGATACCGAGTAAGTGGAAGGAAGGTCGGGGGTGGGTGGCTGCGGCATTTGGAGGCGGCGCCTCGGTTGTGTGGCCTGAGCCTGGCCCTTGTCAGCGGAAGGTTTGCAGGAGGCAGAGGCGGGCCCAGAGTTCGCCGCGCCGGTAGGTAGCAGCGTGGGTTCCGCTTCTAGGCTGGGGCAGAGCGTTGGGGTCTTTGCGGCCGCCTGGGGCTCTCGACGACTGGCTTGTTTGTCCAGCGCCTGCAGTGTAGAACCCTGTGCCGGACGCTTTCCTGGGAGGAAAGGCCTGTCTCCCAGCTCCACCAGGTTCCTCTATGGCTGAGGAGGCCGGCTTGTTTCTACCACTGATGGTGCAGCCTTGTACTAGGGCCTGCTTTGTGCCTCAGAGAAACAGAGATGAGGGAAATGTCCGACGCCTGCTTCTCCTGAGTACGGTCTTGTTGAGAGTTTTGGATTCATACGTGGGAACCAGGTCTCCTCCTTAATCGTCCAACTGATACTTATTGTGCAGAGCCTCGGGATACATTGTGAACCAGACATGGTCCCAGACCTCAGGGGCTTGAGTCTGGTGGTGCAAACATGTAAAAACAATGATCTCACTAAGAACTGTAAAATAGTGCTGCCTAAGAGAGGGGCCTGATGTTATGCGTGCCTAAAATAAGCAGAAAGGCATCTGTGAACAAAAGGTGCCTGAACTGGTAACCTAAAGGGAGAATTCTAATTACTTAGGTCAAGAGAGGAAGGCAGAATATTCCATCTAGAACAGCATGTGCAGGGGCCCTGTGGCAAATGACTAAAAGGCAAAAAGAGGCCACTGTGGCCAATACAGAGGAGATGAAGGAGAGTCTCGTACAGGATGTAGCCGGAGGGGGGGTAGAGGTGCAGAAATCTTACTGTGAGAATGATGGGAAGCCACTGGATGTTTTTTATGGGGGAGAGGGAGGTGGTCTGGTGGGAGAGTGGCTTGATCCCTCAGGCCCAGTAGCATGAACAGATAGGAGGAGAGATAGGTACAGATAGACTACTCGGGTGAGAGCTATTAGCAATGAAGACTGAGGTATTTGTACAACTGCAGGAACTGGACAGTTTTCTAGAGATATATAGGAGGTAAAATGAGTAGGATTTAATGATGGATTGGATTTAGGAAGTGAAAGGAGAGAAATCAAACTGTAGGTCCTAGGTTTCTGGCTTATGCAACAGGGTAGTTCTTTTTTTGGAAGAAGAAGAGGGAGGTGGTATGATATCCAGGAGGCAGTTTGAAATACGGCTTTGGAACTCAGAAGCGAGTTTTCGGGAAACATTTACTTGGGAATAATTGCATATAGGTGACAATATGAGCCATAAGTGTGGGTAAGAGAACCTTGAGTGGTCCCAACTTGTAATGGCCAAGAATGAAAGCATGAGTCCACAAGAGAAACACAAGAGCTATAGAGGAGGACCAGAGGAATGTTGCCTCAGCAGCAGGAAATGGTCTGTGTAGTGGTGCCTGGCTGGTCCAGTCGGTAGAGTGTGCCAACTGTTGATCTTGAGGTTGTGAGTTTGAGCCCCATACTCGGTGTAGAGATTGCATAAAAATAAAATCTTTAAAAAAAAAAAAAAAGATTCTGCGTTAGAAAAAGTTTCTGTGTTAGAAAATCCTGGGATTTGGGGCGCCTGGGTGGCTCAGTTGGTTAAGCGGCCGACTTCGGCTCAGGTCATGATCTCGCGGTCCGTGAGTTCAAGCCCCGCGTCGGGCTCTGTGCTGACAGCTCAGAGCCTGGAGCCTGTTTCAGATTCTGTGTCTCCCTCTCTCTGACCCTCCCCTGTTCATGCTCTGTCTCTCTCTGTCTCAAAAATAAATAAAAAACGTTAAAAAAATTTTTTTAGAAAATCCTGGAATTTAAATAACATGAGAATTGAAACATGTCTGTTGGCTTTATCATCATGGAGCTTATGGTGTCCTTTGTGAGAGTTGGTGTGATGAGACCAGAAGCCAGATATGAGGCAGAGATTCAGGAAAGGAAATGGAGGCAGTGAATCTACAGAGTATTTTTCATACATAAGATTGTAAAGGAGAGGAGAGGATGTGGAAGCTGAAGGAGATGAGGGGTCACCAAGGATCCAACTGAGAGGGTGAAGGAGAAAGTGAGAGAGAGAGAAATTGGGTCATTGATCGTGTTGTGAAAACGTGGGAATGGATGGGATCCAAAGTACAGTTAGAGCAACCTTAGGAAGATGGACAGTTTCTCCAGTGAATAGAAAGGAAGAAGGAAATGAAGGCAGTAGGTACAGTCTGTTTGTATATTTGGTACTGATAAAATGAATTCCTGTCTCATGGCTTTTATTTTCTCTGTAAAGTAGGTGATGTGATCATATGCTTAGAGTGAGAGGAGATCAGAGATTTGAGAAGATTGCAGAAGGTGTGAAAGACGTTGTAGATCGTGGGAGAATTGTGTGACCAGAGAAATGTAGAATTGTCTTGCAGATTTGAGGTTGGAGATCATAATTTTTTTCTAGCAACATCAGGCTATTCTGTGCCGGCGTGCAGAAAACATACCAAGGTATGGTGGTGAGGACTGTGGGTTTGACTTGCTCAGCACACGTTTCTACCTCTACCTCTTACAAGGCAGCGCACATTGCCTTCTCTTACTGAAAATTCTGAGATGCCAAAAACGATTTCGTAGACTCCTTTGCACCTAAGGTGAGAATTGAATTTGGAACTGAGTTAGATGTGGAGACAAAGAGAGTGAGAGCCATCCAATTCTGCTGGCAAATTTCGTAGCAGAGCTGATGTCTCTTTAGTCACCAACTTTCTGGTTTAGTGACTTTCTGCAATGATAGCCATAACTTTCTTGATCATGGCGAAGAGTTATTTTGCGGGTTAGGACTTGTTCCTGTAAGTTCTAACAGAGCCTGCTCCCATAGCCCTTCAAGTAATTTTGTAAGCCACATGATCCCTGGCGATAACTCCCTTTTGGCTTATCTTAGCTGGCATGGGTTCTGTTGTCTGCAACCATACTTCACTCATGCCAGACAGGTGAGCTGTAAAGACAAGGAGTTAAAGGGTGGTCAGGGTATTATTAAAATGATGGGCGGGGCGCCTGGGTGGCGCAGTCGGTTAAGCGGTCGACTTCAGCCAGGTCACGATCTCGCGGTCCGTGAGTTCGAGCCCCGCGTCGGGCTCTGGGCTGATGGCTCAGAGACTGGAGCCTGTTTCCGATTCTGTGTCTCCCTCTCTCTCTGCCCCTCCCCCGTTCATGCTCTGTCTCTCTCTGTCCCAAAAAAAAAAATAAATAAACGTTAAAATAAAATAAAATAAAATAAAATGATGGGCTATGGAGTCCAAGCTGGAGAGGGCTAACAGGTTGGAAGAAAGTAGAGGTCGATAGATTAGGATTCTAATGAGGTCAGAGAACAGTGTTCTCTGCTATAGGACTTCCATTTATCCTTAAAGTCCTCTTCAGTTGTCACCTCTTAAACTTCCCTGTGTCCTCCAAACCCTTGGTCTCTTGTTTTCTCAGCACTTTGAACCTAGCCACTGTTTTAGCACTGGTCACATTGCATTGCAAATGGTTACCATTATCCCTGCCAGACTAGGAGGTCTGTGAGGACAGGGACTGTGTTGAAAGGGGCAGTAACAGTGGCCTGGGCATATGACCCTTGGAATGGCCTAGTATTTGTCTCTTTCTAGCCATGCATTTTGGGCAACTTACTTCATTTCTGTACACAGGAATACCTACTTTGTAGAGTTGTTTTAAGGCCTGAAGGGAGGTTTATGAAGTGCTTACCACAGAGCCTGGCGTAAACATCGGTAAATGCGCTGAACTGATGAGTTAACAGTTTGAAGTAGGATTAAACGAAGTACTTCAGTATTTCAGTAGACAGTTCTAAATTTCAGTGTGCTAGACGCTGCAGATTTGGAGGGGGGTGGATATGATACTGTGTAAGACAAGGGCATGCACAGAAGAATTTCACAATCTAGAAAGGGAAGAAAAAATGTCCATATGATTTGAATCCCATCTTCATCATTCATAGCTTTGTAATCTTGAGTAAGTTACTTAGCTTCTCTCATGTCTTAGCTTTTTCATCTATAATGTGGCAATGATAATTGCCTATCTTGTCGAGTGGTCCGAAAGAGAATCAAATTACTTAAGACAAGTAAAGCTCTTAGGTTAACGTACAGCAAATAAATACTCGAACACTAGCTGTTGTTATCAGACGACTTAGAGAGGACCTCCAAGATTATTGACTAAGAACAGTGTGGGGTAGAGCGTAAGTACTGGTCATGGGGTCTCGTGCCAATGGCTGGCTGTAAGCAGCCTCTGTCAAGTCACTTGACCTCTGTTAGCCCTATTTTCAGTTAAGTAAAAGTAATGAGGGGAATGATTCCTTTTCATCTTTCACATTTTATGAGTCCGTTTTTTGTGTTTTTCTTTGCACTTTACTATTCTCTTTCCTGCTTTTGGACATTTTCTCAATCAATCCATGACTGAAGTTCAAAAAGGAAGAAGCATCTGTCTCAGATAGTCATTCTATCAAGTTGATGGGAAGGAGGAAGTTTGGCTACCATTGTGGCATTTGAAAATCTCCCCCTTCTAATCTAGCCAACATATTGGGTGGAAGTTATTTCCTCTACATTCTTTAGACCAGAATGCTTTCTCCCTTCTTTCTTTCCCTGTGTTTGGCGTATAGTGAGGCCATTCACTCATTCAAAAACAAACAAACAGGGGCGTCTGGGTGGCTCAGT